AACGGTCAAACCCCTTTGACTGGATGGAATTGGGGCGGAAGGGAAAAAGCATAAGGAGGCGAAACGCACTTGGGCAAAACCAAGGGTTTTTTGAAATTAGGGGCAAAACTGCAGCGGAGGACACAACTAAGGGCACGAAATTAATTCTCCCAATTATTAAAATTGTGGTAGGACCGGAAGCTTATATATATATATATATATATATATATATATATATATATATATATATATATATATGGATGTTTATGCATTATAGAATATTAACCATTCAAGGTTTACATGATGAAAGAATGTCAAGCTTTTAGGGTTGACCCTTCCCTAGCCCACTTTGTATATTGATCGATGTAGAGTTACATAACTCGGGCCGAATTAGGTGGGCTTGCCCTGTTGATCTGGCCTGGCCAACAAGAAATGGAGCTCCTTCTCCGTTTGGTTGGTAGAGTCTAGGTACCATATCCTTGTCACCATTTAATTAGGGATAACATTTTGATTTATATCTAGGAATGGATGGAGTAGAGTATAAGTAAATCAATCCCATTAGTATGATTTCTCCCAATGAATTTGTTGCAATTATGAAGATTTTCTTGTGCATTAAATGATTGACATATTTTATACAACATTAACACATTGAAATCTATGTAATTAATGAGAACGAGACAATGAAATATGTACCATATCTTTTGTAAGTTAATAATATGCATTTATGTGCATATATCAAATCTGATTCTTAGGTCAAAAAATGCATTGCGTGAATTGTAATTATTAAAATTGTGATAGGATCGGAAGCTTATATATATATATATGTATGTTTTACGCATTATAAAATATTGACCATTGAAGGTTTACATGATGAAAGATTGTCAAGCTTTTAGGGTCACTCTTCTCTTGGCATATCTTGTTCTAGTCACCAGAGGAAAAGATGTCAGTGCTACAGAAATATGGGTAAATACTAGCAAGATCCAAAAAAATAATAAAACTATTCTTGTAAGAGGTATTCATCTTACTCTATATATTTAGTATCATTTTTGGAGGCTAACAAATAGATGGTTCCAACTAGATGGAAGGAGGAGATGTCGTTGACTGCGTTGATGTGAATCTTCAACCAGCTTTTAACCACCCATTATTGAAAGACCACAAAATTCAGGTAAATTACTTTCATAAATATATGGTTTACAATTATGTTTTGTCTCAAACTAATGTAGATTGATGTTCGGGGACATAATGATTGTATTTTTTCTCATATACATGAATGCTAGGCATGAAGAAAATTATGGGAATCGGTCATGATTTTCATGATAATACAATGCTTTGAATTATAATTTTTCATATGGTTTCTTCTGCTACTCACTTTTAGTTTTGAGAATCATAATTTATATTGGCTCCTTACATTGACTATAAGGTGATCAAGGTTTTCTTGTCAAATAGATGGAACCAAGCTCCTTTCCGAATGGACTAAATATCACATCTCCGTTCCTACATGATGTATTTGAAGCACATCCGCCTATCGTTGAATGCCCAAGAGGAACAGTTCCAATACTACGTAACAGTAGAATGGAGCATATAGCAGGACAACTCTATATTAATGGAGTGATTAGCAAGGATAATCAACAAGAGGTGGATTTTCTAATATTTCATTTTCAAAACAATCTCGTTATCATAGGTTCATTAAATACGAAACTAGCACGTAGCTATTGCACACATAATGAAATGTAAACATAGCTAACTAAATACAAGGCAACATATACAAACTAAAATTCTAAAAGATTATTCTAGTGTAGAGGCATCTTTGAGTGCTGACATTTAATCTTTTAGTGAGGGTTGTAAGATAAAATATATGCATGTGAGTAACTCAATTTATAAACGGAGCAATCCACTCAGTAAGATGAATGCTTAGAATATAGAAATGACATCTTTATTTAAAAATTGAACAATACATTTTCCATTTTCCATTCAACAACATAATATGTCATGTGTTGACGTTCTTTTAGTGGTATCTGAAGGCATTTCATTTGTTTTACCATGTTTCTCCACCACTTCCTGAAGTGTTTTACCTATGTTCCATTTTACTCTCATCTTGCAACATAAAGATGTAATGTGTTGGTTAAATTTAATTATTACACTAACTCGTGTTAACTATTTTCGCTTGTAGGTGGCAGGAATCAAATATTATGGTGATGTATATGGGGCGAGAGCTATAATAAATGTTTATGAGCCAAAGGTGAAGAAATCTAGTAAAGATCTCAGTGCAACAAGTATTCAAATTGATAACTTCGGACCAAATGGCCTTGATAGTATAGTTGTTGGATATTCGGTAGCTCCAAACTTGGCTGGTGATAGCTCGGCAAGGTTTCATGTTTCTTGGGTAATCAGTGATATTTTTTGACACACATTCTATTATCAACTATGGATATATTATAATGAAAAATTGCAAATATATAGTTTTTATTGATCCTTAAGCAAACATGGGTGCTAGGGTGAAGAAGGCGGACAAAGCAAGTCATGCTATGATCACACATGCCCTGGTTTTGTGCAAGTAAACCACAACTTTGTTCTTGGAGGAAGATTACAACCTGTTTCAGTCTATAATGGAAAACAATATGTGATTACGGTCCTTATTTACAAGGTACACTCTTATTTTTCTAAATTTAGTTTCTCATGAGGGTTGTATTATGAGCATAGGCGATATAGGTAGTTCACTATGATATCGATTGAGTTACTTAACATAATCATTATTGATATGCTTCCTATCGTCTTACACCTGCATATTATCTTTTGACACAAATTTGATAAATCAGAAATATGATGGCTTAAAGCTAAACTCCTAGATTATCATACCATAAAAAAGAATCTAGAAATAATTTCAACTATTAACATATATATTTTATTGATTAGAAACCCATGTTATAAGATGATATATATCTTTAGAGGAATAGAAACAAATGCATGCTATAATATTTAGCATAATAGCCTTGTATGCATTAATAGTCTTTCATTATGTGTCTTGAATTATTTTAGGACTTAATGACAAAGAACTGGTGGGTAACATATGGTGAAGACAATACACCCATTGGATAATAGCCAAATTCACTATTCATATACCTTAAGGACAAAGGTAATTTCACATTATGGGGTGGCTATGTTGCGGGCCCGACGGCTTCATCAGATTCTCCACAAATGGGTAGTGGGCATTTTGCCACTGAAGGTTATGGAAAGGCAGCTTTTGTAAAAGGCATCCAAATTGTTAATGAGAACGGCCACCTTGATATTCTAAATGTGAACAAAGCCCTTGTAGTCAGTAGTGATTCCACGAAATATACAGTTGCTGTCTATGACTTTGATAAGTATGGTATGCATACGTTCTATGGCGGGCCAGGTAATTTAGTCTAAAAATGTACTCATCAAACTACAATAAAGTCATTATTATAGTCATTGAGTTCGACTTAGAAATTTTTCATGCAAAATGTTGTAATTTGGTGTTAAGCCGAGAGGTCCCATGGAGGCTCAAGGCAATTTTTTACACACATCATCTCAATATTTTTGTTAATCCTGGAGGCTCCGAGGCATTTTTCTACAGCACATTGTTTTGACTATAGAAGTTACATATGGCCAAAAAAGCAAAGTTGTTCGTTTCGATCAAAAGCACAACTTTCATGTTGAGTGCTTCCCGTTTGAGGTCATCTTGAGAACGATTTCATGCCTACCCAAAACTAGATCAATAGTTGTGTTTGTTTTGTTTTGCAAAAGCTTACTATTGTATATTCTGGTTTGGGTTGCCACATATACAAACTATCTCAATGCAAAACAACATCACAATAGAGCAACAAGCGAAGTATAAGCGGTTTCACAAGATGTGGGTGTATGCGTAGCTTGAGGCCTTTGTGTTGAACCGTTGAGCCTTCTTAATTAACAAGTCTCCTTCAAAATTATGTCTGGTAGGCCTGGCCGGAATATACCGGCACTTATGGCGTCCGCGCAAATGGTACACGGTGCACACCCCGCGATTTAACTAGGCCGGCCCATAAAGCGACCCACTTCTAGTTTTTCGGTAGCTTATGAATAGTTTTGGAAGGGCACGACTTACTGAAGGGCGAAGCGAGGTGGGCCAGCCCATTCGGGCGAGATGCCACAGCCTATTTTTCTGTTTTTTCTGTTTCCTGTGTTTTTCTACTTTATTTTTGTACTTTTATTTATACTTAAAATATTCTAAATATATATATATATTACAAAAAACACTATACATATTATTTGAAAAATATTCATCGAGTATTTGAAAAATGTGAATCAAGCATTCGAGTAATGTTGAAAAAATATTTGAAAAAATGGTGAACAAATATTTCAAAAAATGTTAAGCAAGCATTTGGAAAATTTCGAACCAATATTTGAAAAATACTGAACAAGTATTTGAAAAATGTGTTAATTAAGCATTCAGAAAATGTTGAACAAGTATTTGAAAATGTTAATCAAGCATTCAGAAAATGTTGAACGTGTATAAAAAAATTGTTGATCATGTATTACAAAAATGATGATTTTATTATCACATATATAATAATGTTAATCAAGAATTTAAAAAAACCGCGTAAGAAAGGACGTAAACCGATAAAATGGTATGAAAACAGGAAAGGTAGAATTCTGAAAAAATAGTAAAAAAAAGCAGCTCGATTCGCCTAATGTAGGCCACACCCGACTAGGTAATCACGAAACCATGATGAGCCGAGTGGTTACTAGCGCGCGTGGGCAGCCGGGAGACCATGGTTCCATCCCTCGGTGTCCCCATTTCTTCCTTCTTCCTGATTTTTAAAGTATCTGGGCGTTATATGGGCGGCCGATACTGTTCTCGCTCTACGCGAGAGAATCATCGGTCTCGCTTAATGCGATGAATAGTCGCCTCAGTTTTGGGAAGCTTTTGATTTTTTTTGTTCAATTTTCTTCTTCCTCTTCTTTTTATTAACTCACCATTTGTTTTCCAATTTTCCAATTTTTTCTAATAAGCAAAAAAAGTCAAATTTTATATTTATTTAATCTTATTCTTTTTGAATTCATGAATTTTTTTCAAATTAATGAACCTTTTTTTCAAATTTTACAAACATTACTCAAATTCATGATTTTTTGGATTAAAATTTGTGAACATTCTCAAATTCATGAACGTTTTCAAATTCGCAATTTTTTTTTCAAATTTATGAAAAAAAATCAAAATCATGTTTTTTTCTAATTAGCAATTTTTTTTCAAATATGTAAATTTTTTATATATCTGAAAAAATACTCGTAAAAAAATCAATTCCACGAGAAATGATTCCCCCCAAGAAGTTAACGGTCACCTTATCAAGTAGTCAATGGTTGACCGAACGAATGAAGCAGGGCAGGCAGTGACCGAGCAGTTTTTTTTTTGAGGCAACCTCGCAAAGCTTTATTACGTCGTCACAATATTTACAGGGATGAATAAAATGCCTTCGCGCTGGCCTAACCAATCATGACGGCCAACACTCAGAATTAAAGCATGCTTTGCTAAGTTGTGAGCATCAAAATTTGAGCTCCTAGACTGATGAACTACGTTACAAGAAATAAAAGAGGATGTTTGTAACTCAATCTCTCTGACCACTGGTCCATATGCCGATGTGCTGTTCCTGCCAATCTCATTTGCCACACCCTTTCAATCTGTAGCAGCATGTACCTTTGATATGTTTAAATCTGCTGCAAGATCAAGGCATTCTCTTACTGCCAATGCTTCTAGTGTAGCAGGGTCTTTAATATATTTGAAGATAAAAGTCGATGCCCCAAGAAAATTGCCATCTTGGTCCCTACATACTGCCGCCACAGCTCCAAATTGGCTCCCACGACCCACGGCTGCATCCACGTCCAGCTTCGCAAAACCTTCATGAGGAGCGATCCAGGTCGGGTGTTGCATGGTTCCACCCCCTAATCCTGCTATCATTGGGGCTATGACCTGAAAATCAGATATATAAGAATTTATGAACCCGTGTGTCGTCTGGGGTGACTTGAACATGCCTTCATACAATGCTTCCCTTCTTGCTCCCCACATGGCCCAGAGTGAGACCGAAAACCTAACAAAATCATCAGGTTTTAGCGCTCCCATCATCGCAAATAACCACGCTTTGGGGCACTCTTGTTGTTGAAAGCTCAGCTGATACAAAATGGCCTCCGAAGAAAGCGCCCAAGTGCAGCGCGACATCGGACAGTTCAGCAACGCATGTCTCCAAGAGTCGGGTGACCCGCACAACCTGCATGCCCCCGTCGTTGCCATGTTCCTCCTGTGTAAAACATTACCCGATGGTATCGAGTGTCGAGCAAGTCACCACAGAAAAACCTTGATTTTTCTTGGTACCTCAACCTTCCAGATGGCTCTACATTCCTTGCTATCCCCCTCACTCGAAGACGGTGTCTCTCGTTCTTCAAGCCAGCCCTCTCTATCATACTTAGTTCGAACCAGCATGCGGTATGCAGACCTGACTGAAAAATTTCCACGAGGTTCTTCACCCCAGGACCAGAAGTCACCGATTCGTCGTGTGCATATAGGTATTTTTCAATATTGCTTCCACATCAAACTCAGTGAATACTGTTCGGATCAGCTCCTCTCGCCAAGAAACCGTGGTCGTCTCAATAAGATCAGAAACCATATGAGGCGGGGTTGTAACCAATGATGCAATCGGTCTCTTGAAGCTTGCTCGTGGGATCCAGTTATGGTCCTAGATCCCGGTAGAGGCTCCATCACCAATTCTTCTAATCACACCTTGAGCGAACACATCTCTTCCATCTAAGATCGCTCGCCAAATCTGAGACGGGTGCGACCCCTACTCCGCATGAAGTAGTGATACATCCGGATAATAAACAACCTTCAACAACCTTGCACTCAGTGATTCGGTCTCATTCAATAACTTCCAGGCCTGTCTCGAGAGCAAAGCTAAATTAAAAAGCTCCAAATCCCTAAACCCCATTCCTCCCATATGCTTTGGTTTGGTCATGATGTTCTGTAACACCCCCAGTGTCATGCTACAGTAACCCTCTGTGATTAAGCTAATCATTTACCCAAACAGTGCTTAATCACCTTTGTCCAATATCCCAGTTGAAATTCCAGTCAATTCAAATTCAAGTGAAGTTTGAAGTTGATCAAAAGTTGCCGGAAAAATGTTCATCATCTGTCAAAAATTCCATAACAATTATTTGTTAAGGAACACAACATCACTTTGGTGCAAAGATGAACATTAGCAATTATAACAGCACCAATTCAGCATTTTTAAATGCTATCCTATTTTTTTTAAATACCAAACGAATTCTTCTGGTCTCCAAAATAATTGTGGCACTGTCTATGATCACCAGGGATTTAATGGGACACCTCCCAAATTTTTGCTAAGTGAAATAGTTGGCCAAATAATTCCCTTTCTCTCTCTGTAAATAAAAAAAGGAAATAGAAAAGGGCCTAGCTACTACTGTGCACTTGTAGCCCATTGCTACAGTGCACAGCCAGCCCACTCCTCCCCGCGGTCATCCCCTTCCCCTGTTCACTCGACCGAGGCGCGCGCCCGCGCGGTCGCCGCCCGACCGCCTCGCCACCCCGCTTCTCGCGCCGAGGGGATAAGGCCGAGCCTCCTGGCCTCGTCAGCTCCCCACTCCCACTTGCGCCTCTCCTCCCCCAGATCCACCTTTCCCCTCTCCCTCACGCGCTCACTCCTCCCGAGCGCCACCGTCGCCGTGCGTCGGTTGATCCCGCGGCCACCGCTGTCCCCGGCCCTCTCCGATGAGTCCCCGAGCACCGTCGTGCCCCACGACGTCTTCCTCGACCACCGGACCAAGCCAGGAGCCCCCACAGCAAGCGCGGCGACCTCTTCTTCCTCCTCTGCTCCGACGAATGTCGGCGTCGAATTCGGCCACCTCGCGCCTGCGCCGAGCCCACTGAGCACAACTACAGGCGCCCAGTGAGCTCCTCCTCCCTATCCCTCTCTCCCCGTGCTCTTCCTCGCGCCATGGCAGCCTCTGCCATCGCCGCCCGAACCTAGCTCCGCCGCATAGCTCGCCGTTGATGTTGTAGTCGCTGTTAGGCTGGCCCGAGCACGGGAACGTGC